AGATACTCAGATTGAAAAAAATAAAGAGCATGCCGTAGATTCGCACAAAGTAAGAGCAATACAGCTGTCTAAATCGTCGTAGAACTCAAGTCAAACAGGACCACTGGTTTATTGTGGGAAAATTTACAGGAATGGGTTCAACTTGTTATACGACATAGACAAAAAAGTAAAGGATCTCGTGATTTAATGCAAAACTAATTCCAGAAAATATCAGCAAAGCACAAAATTAGTAAGTTTCTGATATTTCTGCCCTGTCTTACTCCAATGTGTTTTTACACCGCGATGTTGAGAAATGTTGAGAATACTGACTCACACAAAAGTACCAAAGAAGAAGTGTCTAACATGTGCAGTTCAAGTATATTTTGGGTCATGAAATTAATCCAAACAGATGTATTTTTTCTGTTAGGCTACCTTTCTTGCTCATCTTAGCATGGCTAGTCACTGTTCTTTCAAACTTATAGTTCCAAGCCCCGAAAAGCCCTAGCCTGTCCAAAACGTTGTCGAAACGTGCGACTTCAATTACATTAAGTCGTCGGAGTTATTGCTGTTATTTTTGTTGTTTCGAATCCTTCCTTTGACGCGTATGATTACAGAAGGCTTCAGAAGAATTAAATATCCAATGCGTTTCGCTTGGCTCAAAGATGTAGTTTACCACAAGGCTGCCATCCAACAGACCGGCATCGCTGAGGCAGACCTGCTGGCGACGAGGAATGTGACCTTTACAGCAGCAGTGAACTTTGTCTAATATCAATCTAAGTGCCATTTCTAACGGTAAGTCAGGTTAAATTTGTGTTACTCTGCTGTTTAAGCTATGCTAAACTCATATGACGATGACAAAACGACAACAGATCGGCGATAGATTCGTTCCTAGTCTTGCCAGTACTCGTATTTTTTTCTTTAATTTTACCGTTATTTATTTGATATTTAATTTACCTATTTCGCCTTAGCTACTCTTAGCTATGCAGGATTCTCTCCTGACTTTGCTCGTTCAGTAAACCTTCGATTTCCTATCTTTTGATAAGTAAACATTTAAAAAACTAGCTCATATAACTTTGGTGTACCAAACCTTACCAAACACTTAACGTTAAAATCAACAACTCTAAAGCCTAAATCGTTTAAACATAACGACAAAAGTCATACTCTCAGATCAAGTGGTTGTGATTCAGATATTAAAAATAAAGTAATCATTAAACTTTATAAAAACGATGCATCGACAGGAGTTCGTAGTTCGTAGAAATCGATATCGTGTTCTTAATATTCACTTTTCGAGGCGGAAATTTTTTCTCATTTCAAGTTTCAGTAGACGGAAGTCGGCAACTCGAACCAGTCGTAACTTAAGCGCTCAACTTAGTAGACAGAATTAGCATTTTCTTCAATAACCTGTCGAAACGGACTCTGTCAATAATTTATTGAATTTTCGCAACAACCACATCCACATCAGCCACAATAACGGCCAACAAAATACGGTAACTGATGGACGCGGTCAGCAGATGTCCAACAGAAACGCAACCAGATTCGGTTTAGCTGTTCAAAGAAAGGACAGGATGACGATCATTTCAATTCTGCCAGCATAATCAACATCTCTTTCTCCATCCACATACTGTTGGACGAAGGCTTTTCCAAGACTTTGTCATAAACTCTGTTATTCACCACTTTCACACATTTTCATCCAACGACGCTTTTCTTTAGGTACCTTCCTATAGCTCTTCCCACAGATCGTTTACTGGCTTTTCTAACGTCAAAACGGACTGACGTTCATCCGTCCTCTTACAACATGTTCTGCCCATTGCTACTCTAAGTTCCTCACACGAGCAGTGACATCGAAGTGAATCTTTTTGCACTTACTCACTCATTCGTCTTCTGGTTCTTTATTAATATTCCCAACATATATTTTTCCGTGTTGCATTGCTTAGTCCGCAGTTTACGTAAAGCCTTCAGGCTTAAGGTACACTTTTCTCACCACAGCTTAGCACTCTGAACAAACAATGATCGCACAATTTCCCTTTAAAGCACAAAGGCAGATCTCTCGTTGTCCATAGGAACATTTATCTTCAAAAGGAGCTCCATGCCTTTTTATTCTTCTGTTGATTTCACATAGTTAGTTCTCCGTTACACAGATGAGCTGTCCCAGATGGACGTAGTTTCGCACTTCTTCAAACCTAAGTTCGCTGATTTCAACAGGACACGCGATTAAGTACTTGATGAACACGACCTGAATCCTCCTCATGTTCGTCTTCAGTCCCACTTTCAAGTTGGCATCGTTCAGGTCTTAGATCCTTCTTCGAAGTTCTTCTGATGCATTCGAAAGGATCACAATATCATCCGCAAACTCCAGGTGGCCTATGTAGTGTCCATTTATGTTTAGCCGTGATCTTCCCAACGGATTGTCGTGAAAACCTCTGCTAGGGCCGTTGTGAATAACTTCTACTTTACCCCATCATCATGCCGAATGCTTTTTTCTACTTTGAACTTGGTTGTGCTCTTGTGAAGCTCAATACTAACAGTTGCATTCTTGTAAATCATGGCGATCAGGATTATTCACTGTCCCTCGATTCCCTGGCTCCTCAAGGAATCCAGCACAGAACGAATATTCTCTAAGTCAAAACTCCAGCCGTAATCGATTAATCTCATGCAAATATTCGCTATAATATGATATTCGCTGTTTTTTTCTGAATTACTTGTTTTATCACCAGCAGTGATCCATCGCACTGAATTCACTTCTGAATCCTGCTGACTCTTTTCGCTGAGCAGTGCCTAGGTTTTCCTCAAGTCAGTTCGTCACCATTTTCGTAAAGATTGTTTACTGGCAACAAAATGATCAACCTGCAGTTCCACAAATCCTCTCTGTCTTCCTTTGTGGAGGAAAATCACCGATGCGGCTGGCATTAATCGCCAAGAACTTTTAGTTCCTTCAGGGAACGTAGAAATAAACGCTCTAATAATTGGTCAGTGCTTCACCTCCCAATTCCACTGCAACGTCGTTTTCGCAAGCAGCTTTTCCTCACTTCGACAGTTTTATTGCACGTCACACTTCTTCAAGCAAGATATCTTCAACTTCGTCAACCTTGTTAGTATTTTCAACTTGCTTATCATCACCAAGGGTGTTGCTGTCTTCATCTTTGCACAGATTTTTATAGAAATCTTCAACTATTTTTAGAATCACTTGTCTACCCCTGATGAAAGTCAAGCATTCAGGTTTGAGAGCTAGAATTTGTCGTTTCCTAATCTTAATTCCATAATTTAATTTCTTAATCTTTCGGTTGCTTTCAATAGTTTATCAATCTGTAGCTGAATGCTTGGAGGTCTTCTTTCATGTCTTTCTATCAAGTTTTACAAAGTTCAACACATTCGATCTTTGCTTTCTATCTGTCTTCATTTCCCTTCGTTTCTTCATTACTTTTTTCGTTTGCTTCGTGAATTTTCGGTCGGCCTTTATAATTCTTGTTCCAGAAATATTTTCCGTCGTTTCTTGAACTACCTTCTTTATGTCCTGATACATTACGTTAATTTCCATAGCTTGTCCTGCTCTTTTTTGCATTACACGAAGGACATCGAATCTGTCACTTAATTTCAGTTGCAATGGCGGGAGGTTCTTCCTTAATGTTTCTACATCGAGTAATTTGCATACTATGCTCACCAATTTCCTTCTTTCTAACGCCGCATTCAGGCACATCTTGTATATGACCAGCCGTTGGCCGCTCCTTGCATTAAATCTGCTCAGTTTCGCGTCTTATTCCACGATTGTTTTCATGTTGCTGAGGACAAAATCGATTTCATTATGATGTCGTTTAAACTTGGTAAAGTTGTCCATATTTTTCTTGGTTTCTTTCTGAAGGAAAAGGTATTCATAAAAAGTAACTTGCACTTTTCAGCAAACTCTATTTGACAGTCATCGGTGCTCCTTTCGCCATAACTAAATCAGACAACAGGTCATTCGCTACTTTACTGAAGTCGACTTTAGTAATGGAGTCATCAATAATGAATTTTTAATGCTCTTTCCTAGTTCATGCACTTATTTCATCGAATAAACCTTCTTCTCTTTATTAGGGTGGATTAATGTCGGTGCTTATGCTTGGAAACTTTGGAGTTCATATCTCTTGGAGACTCTTAGGACTAACCTTTCACACCTTTCTCAGTACCGTCTATTTGCATTGTACTGTTCTTTAATCTCTTCGGAATAATGAACCGTATTTACCCAGTACTTACATTTGTCGATCCTTTGTAAAACAGATGTGCACTTTAAGGCCCTAATACCCCTCGCCCTCTGCTCTTCTAACTTCGCTGAGCCCTAAAGTCCAGCTCAATTTTCCTAAGCTCTTCTTCCAGCTCTTGAAACCTTGTTTCACCTAGAAATGGCCTGTAATTGTATATTACTAAACCGTACCAAATCTATTCCGTAAGCTGGATATTCCGTAAACCGAGTACCTTCTGCGTTCATACCTGACCAACTGCTGCGTTCGCTGACGGCAATACAGCCTCCTGGGAATGAAGGCCGTGGATTTAGTTGCCATTTCATCTTGGAGAATCTGACATAACTCACTATGCTGGCCAGGCGAGTTGAAGATTGTTGCCAGTGGCATATTCTGACAGCACCAGCTGGTCTGGTATATTCTCAAACTTCCACAGCGCGACTGAATCTGCCAGAGCCTAGAGGCTCAGCCATACATCGTCTTGAATGCCGGTTGTCACCCACTTACCATACTGAGGTAGTGGAAGCATTATTCAGGAAGTTTTTAATTCTGCAATATGTAATAAATCAAATGGATAGAAACGTTGAGTTCCGCATAGGAACTCAATGGTTAAACGGATTAGACCGAAAACCGATTATGGCTACAAAATTGGCATCTGCCATCGAGCAAACTCAAGCGAGACTGACTGGCATGCGCCGCACATAAACGCATCAGAAATCGAAAATATGGAGTTCTGCATTTAATGGATTGCTAATCAGAGACAGCCTGCATTTCTGCGGCTTAGCTGCAGAAAGCAGTGTCAAAAAACAAGTAGGCAAGTGAATCTGTCCACGGAAACCTTCGAGGAGGAGCAAATCTGAAACATAAATCTGAAGTGAGTTGTTGACAGCCAGGGTGATGAAAAATATCTATTATTTAACGTCAGAGTTGACGGACGTCTTAATATGTATGATATCAACGCATTTGACATGTATGATCAACGGATGAGAGCAAATTGTCCTCATCAGTAGAAAATTAGTACTGAGTTTTGTTAAGGAACTGTTTAGTCGATAACGGCCTCTTCGCTGGCAAACGATATCTGTCACTGACTACCGCGAGGGGAAGATACCACCATCACCATGTCTTCTGTCCGTCTTCTCCGTGGTTGTTATCGATGCCGTTGCAGCAGCTCTGATGACCAACAACCAACTATGCTCATTAATCCTGCGTTACTTAGCATTTTATTAAGTTCATTGTGGTAGAGCACGAGATCGATCACCGAGCGGATCAACAGCTTCGCCGGCACTGTTGCTGAATGACAAGCCAGATAAAAGTCTTCGAGGCGAAGCAAACACGATGAGAACGGCAAGCAGTCGTCGATATTCGTCGGATTTACCGATCGAATGACTCGGCTAAAAGCTGAATGGTTAGCCTTTTTTCAGCTTTAGCCGTCGTCGACGCGTCAAGCAGCTGGAAATGTGGTTTGCGAAGAACTTATGAGGTGAAACACGGTCAGCGCCACGACTCATTAACCATCAGCTACAGAACATCGCCAGCAAAGACAACAACGTTTAAGCTATAAACAATGGCTCTACCGGATTCCATAGGCGGGACAGTAAACAACGAAACGAACGAGACAGACGAAATCTGAATCCTATTGATCCGGTGAAAAACTCGTATGCACACTGTTAGCCACGGTGGCGGGTGGCGGCCTTGGCAGCGACCAACAAGTGGCACTGATGATTTAGTTTTAAAAACAAATAATTACTTTGCTCCGATTTCACATCGTCCAGTATTTGATTCATCTGCTGAACGGAAACGTTTTTCGAACGCCTCGGTGGGGGCACCGGAGAAAAGCTGCGCGAGTCGCCTTCGGCTGTCGCCCTCGCAAGGTCCACCTTCGCCTCTGAGTATATCTTGTTCTTCCTCGTCGTTATCGCCGTTGTCTTGGCGGCCGTGCAGGAACGATAGCCCTATAACAATGACTTGTTAATCACGATGCACCCTAGTCCTCTCAGCGTGGTCAATATTCACTGACCAGTGGTCGTCAGCTGACCGATTCGGCGTCACTCACCGTTTCTTGCACAGGCATCGCGAAAAACGCACCGTTGCGCTGGAATCGCTCGTAACAAACTGGCTCGTCGTTGCGCGTTAAGTTGCTGTCCTGAGTAAATGATCGGAGTAGGAGAAGTTTGCTGCAGCGGTTAACGCTCGAAGCAGGAGGCGCTTCCAAATCCGATTCGAATTCATCTGTGTAAACACGCTAAGCACATGACCAGATGACTTTCGGCAACTGCTGTTCCTCGCCGTCACTCTCGTTGATGACGATGCGTGCGCAGTTCGCAACAGCTGTTCATTCGTACGTGCGATGCTGACAACTTGCTACCTTAGTTCGATCGCAAAGGTAGCTGCCGTTGACCTATCCCACTTCGTAATTTTACTCGCACAGCTGCCATCGAACGAACGCCGGTGTTAAACATCGTGCACTTCCGTCGCTTCGCTACATTTTGACCTCAGACAGAGGCGTTGCCCAATTCTAGGTCATCAAATGACCTTACCAGCTTGTCTCTGCCATTAGATTAGTTCCTGCCACCATTCTAAGTACACATTGTGAGGCAACACGGAGTCAATTATGATCATTCGTTGGTAGCGAAAATGAAGCTGTGCAAACATTCAGCACCGTACCCCATCGAATTACGGTTCAAAGCCTATTCCCTTTCAGCCAACTTGAACCTCCTTTCTGTTACGTGCTGGTCTGGGCAATTGATTTATTGTTTGATTCGGCTAACTTTGTTGTTATGAATTCGGCGGCAGACGATGGTTGAACTAACGAATACCGCCCGTAACTCAGAAGTTGAGTGACATTGATTTTTGATTCAGAGCTTTTGCATCGTTTACCTGTTGTGCAACGAGGACGCCCCGCTTCGACGAGTCGACATGCTATAACGCTGCAAACTAAGCTGCAACCGTTCGCTCATCGTAGGTTTTTACAGCTTTTGATAGATGGCAAAGGAGGCAAATTTTGTGCCAGTTCGGGTACTGCATGTGGGCGATTTTGCTAGCATGCAATTTGCATCTCTATAAACAAATAGAACTTCAATGGAGATATGTTATTTGAATCTCTTGAAACACGTTCGAAATGAGTATAAGGACAAACCATTTGACAATGCAATTTCTAAACTGTACATACATATTCACATTCGCAAAATAATGCGTTAAATGTGAATGCAGAATATTTGATCAGGTATATCGCTTAAGCTTTTACAGCATAACTGAATGAACCAGAGCCTAAAGACTCAGCTGAAAACCCGTTATCACTCTCTTATCACAATGAGGCAGAAAATACTACCAAGGTGGGACGGAGATGCTGAAAATAAATTGCTTTAAAACTCTTTATACGCACAATTTATAAAATTCTTAGATGACATGTTTGTCTAAACAGCATTTCATCGACAGTTTCATGGACAGTTGAAAAAAATCGTATATTATATTTAGAGACTGACTCTTAGCGATCTAGCCAACAACTGGCTCGAAATATCAATATCGTTTAGGTTCATAGTTGATTTTAAAAAGCCGCAAGGCAAGGATTCTCGTCTCCCCAGTCGAATTGTGTATAATAAAAGGAAGTCCTTAGTCATATCTTCCTTTCGTAATAATCGTTTGAGAATAAACTTAATTTTAAACAGGAA